AGCGGTACCAAAGGGCTTGAGCCGAAAATTCCATTCACCGTGGACGGGGCCTTACGTAGTGATCAAGAGACTGGGCAAGGTAAACTACCATATCAAGCCGGGGTCTGGGAACGGTAAGACAAAAGTGGTACATCGCAATCGACTTAATTAAGCTAGACATACGCCAGCCTAGAATCGAAGAAACCCTGTCTGTTGATCAACCAGAAAAGCACAACTCGAGAGTCGAATTGCTCCCAGGCGAGCCAGTGATACATCACGGAGAGAGGCTGGCGGACGCACAGCTGTTACCAGCAGAGGAGCTGACCCAATTGCGTAGGTCTAACCGTAATCGCCGACAACCTGATAGATATCAGGATTATAACTTAGATGAACTAGAGATCGAGGACGCTCTCAATTAAAGAGGGGGATATTGTAACATATGCTAGTGATTATATGGTTTAATAGGGATTAAGTAATAAGAGACGTTTTATATAGATATCTGATGACAGGTAGAGACTGAGGGAAATGTGATTGTATACAAGACGAATATAACAACAAGAGCTTTTTTTGAAATAGTATTGTTTCCTTGTTTGTGTATATTACAGAACTTAGAAAGACCGATAATTACTACGGCGCCTGCTTGGCCACCTAGCCTCCTTTACCGTTTGGATTGTCAGGGGGGGGGATTCAAATAAAAAACACCTATTTCCGGCAACAGCCAGCCAATAAACGCCGCGATACCGACTGTTTACAGTATTTGAAATCTGAAATTGCAATTTATCAACAGCAAAACTCTTTCGATCGTATACTGCTCTCTTTCTATCTTATACTATACGATCGATCGATCGAAAGAGTTTTGTTGTTGATACATTGCAATATCAGATTTCAAATATTGTAAACAGTCGGTATCGCGGCGTTGATTGCCTGGCTGTTGCCGGAAATAGGTGTTTTTTATTTGAATCCCCCCCTGACAATCCAAACGGTAAAGGAGGCTAGGTGGCCAAGCAGGCGCCGTAGTAATTATCGGTCTTTCTAAGTTCCATAGAATTTTAGTCTCGAAACATTTCGCTAAAAATCCATTGCAAAAATTACAGGACGTGTTAATATTGCCTTGTATGTTCGAAGATGAGTGTTTATTCTATACGCTGGCGAAGTTTTACCGGGAACAAAGCAATTTGAAGCAATTTTTTCGATTTGAATTGTTCGTGTCGGCTGTTTGAGAACTGGAATCGTTAGCCTTTGCTTTCAATACTATCACCTATGAAGACAGTCGCAGGCATCGAATGTAAAGTCGCTCAGAAATAAAAGACGATCACATACAATCAAAGTAGGCAAGTAAATATGATTTTAAAATATAAAATTCATTACAAATTTTATTGTTTAGTATATTTTATAATGATATATTCATAGGCGTACGGGAAGGAAAAAATGGGGCAGAAAGAAATTTGCCCGACTTTTTCGGATTGTGCCCGACTAGTGCCGAAAAACTTTTTTTCCGGAAAAATTTTTTTTGGCGACCCCCCCCCCGTCGCCAAAAATATTTCGATCAGTGTACCATTTTAGGGGTCAAAAGATTTTTTTGGACATACCCAAATTTTTCGAAACCTCAAACAAACTTTCCCCAAACTTATCGAAAAATTGACATATTTCCAACAAAATTTACAGAATTTGTCCCATTTATTTTTATAATAACCAAATACTGCCCGACTATGAAGCGAATATTACCCAACTGGCTTTGTTTGCCCAACAAACTGGGGTTATTATTAAGAGAGATTTTCTTGTTTTGACTACTTTTTACCTGACTTTTGCCCGACTTTTGCTGAACATTTGCCCGACTTATCGACTTTGTAATCTTGTTGGGGGGGGGGGCAGCTGTCCCCCCTGCCCCCCGCCTATGGATATATTTACTATACACTGATACACGTCTGGGCCGACTGTGTTCAAACACAATTAAACACAAAACTAACCGGAAATAAATCAAAATATCTCGCGCGATTTACATTCAAGATAATACCGCTGAGACTCTATCAGATTCTTTAATACTATTTATAGTTCTGTTGGAAAGTCAAGTGATTATAATCATTGCTGAAATTTCTAACGCAGCTGGAACAGTCCCAGCTTGTTTCGGACATTTATAGTTATTCTACAGCAGTTGGAACACTGATCTGGCAATAAAACTGGATTTCATATCTGTTGTGAAAATATGAAGCCGCTTGTCAGTTATTACTAAGTGACGAACTGATATAGCGTATAATGATATTGTTAGAAAGGTTGATGTGTCAACGTTATGTATAGTTTTAATGGTTACTGTATCTGATGTAAGTTTGGAAGATGTTTAAGATAAAAGAGAGCCAGTTCCGTGTATGCAGGCTTTCTTGGTAATGGCGCTTTTGTTTTGTTTACAATGGTTAACTATCCAGTAAATGTCTGAGTTCAGTTGAACATTACGTGTATCGATTTTTTCAACTATATTATATAGCATTTCGACATGAAGCATAGTGTGCAAACGAGCTTTCGTTGAAGGTGTACTGTCTAAATTTGCTGAATATATGTAAACGCTCTAGGCTATGTCAATCACGACTATATTAACGTAATTACCTATTACGATTTTCTTAATTTGACTTCATGTAAAGCCATCAAATATTTTAACTGCCATGTTGCTTATATAATAGTGAGGTGAAAGATTCCTGTTATTCTTTCACAAGTTTAAGTAAACATGGCCCCATTGAAATATCTCCTTTTTGTACAAAATACAAACATGTTAACGAGGGGACCGGATATAAGCCCTCAATGTATAAATCAGGATGTTTACGAATGAATACGAATCAAGGATATTTGGAGAAAACACAGTATGAATATTATGACTCCTGGACTTGTGTATTTATATTTGTAATACTACGAGTTAAAAATTTTCGTTTTTCCAAATTAAGGCACAATTGCACATTGCGCAACACTATTTCTCGTTTTAGCCTCGTTTTTGCAGTCGTTCGAACTATGCCAAAATGTAGCAATTAGTCGAGAATGTAGCTGTGATTGGAATCTTGCGATAGTTGCAGGTCAATGCAATAAAGAGATTTCCTGAATTGCATTCGACTGTCACCAACACAGTGGGATACATGATGGCACGAGACGCTGCAACAGAATGCTAAATATGTGATTAAACGTATCACCAAAAAACCCCTGTATACTAAACCATAATGCGCAATAAATAATGCCTAATATTATTTGCAAATTGACATGTGTGTAATTATGATTCTGTATCCAGCATAGTGCTAAGTTACAACTGATTGCTGAGAAAAGCTTATCTGCGCATTAAGCAGCCACTGTCTCTTGATCACTTGTAATTAAGATGCTGAATTAAAAACCATCTGAAACTTAACAAACACTATTTAAATGCATGCGACTTTATATAGTTTCCTGCAAAAACCGACAAGAATCGAAAAAAATCAAAAAATAAAATAGGAATCTTAAAATATTTCCGCACGTAATTTGTAAGAACTAAAAATACAAGCACACTACAAATACAGCGTTTTATAATGCATTATGTTTTGAATGAACGCTAAAACCAGAGAACGATAAAACAGAATTACAACGTTACCCTTATTTGGATGAAACAGTTGAATGATCAAACGACTGGGGTATATAAATAAAAATTAATAAAATAGTCGGACGTTAAATAAACAAAATATTTGATCACATTTCTCCTAGGTGGCTTATTCAGTCATCAAATAAATGACTCGTTGCTTTTAATAATTTCTCAAATTATTTCGCGCTCATATATTGCACCAGAACTCGACGCGCTTAATAAATAGGGCAAGGGTGAAACCAATGAATGAAAAATCGCGTTTTTCCGTTTTGTCCATTGATGGTTAATATGCGACGGCAGACACCAATAGAAATCGTTTCAACACCTACACATTGCCCGCTCATTAAAGACAAAACGTTTTTTTAAGCGTGAAGTATTTAGAAAATCGACGTACAAAAATAAATAATATTAAAAATAACAAGTTTACAAATAGAATGTACTACATGGTGTATACAAAACAAAGAATATATCAGACTCATATTAAGCTAATAATTATGTACTTGCGCACTTTATCTAAACGTTCGCAATTGGCGCATTTAATGTCGATTATAATGCGCAAATTGCGTATTGTTATGTGTAGGAAAAATAAGGTCACGCACATCTTGCATTGAACAAAGAGATTTTTGTTAGACAAAATGTGTAGACACCTGCAGTTGCATGGACGCTCTCCATTGACGATTACAATACGCTTCAGTAGACTGTTCCTCAATTGAGAATTTGGCAAATATTCAAGTAGAACATGCATGAATAAAGTCATAGTTATTTACAGGCAAACACACCAGCATCGATCACACGGCAAAAATATCTATCTATATTTACAGGATAACAATGTTTTGTTAAGCTACCTTAAAGTTGACCTTCATTTAAAAAAAATCAGCGTGTATATTATAATATTATAGAATTGTGATCGAAACAAAGAAATGATGAACGACGCTTTTAATATTTTACAAGGGAAAACAATGACTTCTTGTACGATTATATGTCATGGAAAACGCGCAAGAAAAAACACCGAGTTTTAATAGTACTTATGGTAATCTAATGATCATAAGATTAAAGTGATATATCGTACTTACTCTGAGCATTTGTTGACAGTTTATATACACAAGTAATGAGCAAAGATAAGATGAAACTTCTACCAATGAGAACCGCCATAGTCAGGCTTTACGTACGGGAACAATGCAATATATGCAATAATACCAAGAGTACGGCGAGCCAGGTCGCACCGCTTGAGCTTGGGAAACGAGCTACAACCCCTGTACAAAAGTATAAAATAAAGAGTTTGATGTCATTTGATCCGGTGACTCATGCAGGGCCGGACCAACTCATTAATTTTCAACTATATAGATAAGACATATCTCCCCCCAAAACTGTCCAATTTTACCAATTTGCTCCAAAGATAAAAAAGATTGTTATCTACCTAGGGACATTATTGAGATGACAAGAAATTTTTCTACCAGCACAAAAGTTATTCCGACACAGGTGGCTGACCTTGTCTCTCCATGCTCCTAATAGGATAAATTCTAACAATACCTTCATGAGCATTTTTCATATTATTCCATTAACATATTGGATAAATTCTAACAATACTTTCATCAGGCAAGGTACACGAGGCAATATTTCTCTGTAAGTACGTTTCTATACGTTATAGCATGATTCACATTGCCTTGCAAATTGGAGGAATTTTGTAAGTTGGTTGGAACACCACCACAGTAATCAAATACACCTCGACTTTATAATATACCTCCAACGTTTTCAACTTGCCAAGTCTAAATAATTACGATAATATGTAAGAATAAAACAAAAGACTTGAGGTAAAATTACAGGGTCAAAGGTAGTATTAAAATCAATAAAAAGCAAAGATAAAATCAGCGCAATGGCGGAGCCAGGGTAGTAAAATAAGTAAGGGTAAGTATTTGGGAGCATGGAACCCGGGGAAAATTTTGAAATCTAAGGTCCCTGAATGTGATTTCCAGCCGTTTTGGGGGGAAGATTATATACAGAATTCCAAAGAGTACAGTACATGAAACACTTATTTTTTCATAGCAAAACCTATGTATAAGTCCAGGAAATATACATTGATGGACAGCTACATAAAACAAGAGTAAAGTGAACATATTCAAGAATTGAAAGTCTATAGTAAACTACATTAAAAATCACGATTCCTGAGAAGCTTATGAGGTTTTGCAAGCTTACACATTTACACGAATCCCC